TTTTTTTAAGAAGGTAAGCAAGCAGGCATCTGTTTCCTCTCTTTATACATTCTGCTTGAGACATTGCCTCTTAGGAAAACCAGCAATTCTCACAGCTGAAAGAGGAGACTGGCACGTGGCGTATATTGAGGCCAGTCAGTAACCTACACCAATTCACAGAAACACGCGCATTTAAACAGCAGGAAAAGGTTTGGAAAGCAGTGATGCTTCAGATCCAAAGCATGCGACAGTTAGCTGTAAATGGAAGATGAGATGAGAGGTCTTAGTGCTCTAAAAACCTCTTAACTTCATTCTGGGTTGATTATTTTCCTAGAGTGAAGTAATGGTGGGAAAGTACCCATTGGTGTCATTTTTTAATTAATTGCTTTGTCCTTTTCTGTTTGTCTGTTTGTTTTTGCCTTGAACTAAGTAGTTTAACTTTAAATGATGTAAAGATCATTGTGAATTTTCCTTCAGGATATTTTCACTGAGGGGGACTCCAGCTTTAGAGTTCATCAGTCACTTCATTTGAGGGGAGTTGTTAAAAAAGGCATATTTTTGGGCCCAATCTCAATAGCCATCAAGTCCAAAAGGGACAGATGGGCTTTAAGGGTAAATACATGTTCACATGATCCTGCACACTTGATTCATCATCAAGGTGTGATAAATACAGTTTTTAGTTTGGACAAAACACATGGAAAGAGACAGTTTGAAAATGAAGATGTCATGGACTGGGTAGGAATGCCAGTGGCCTGGATGGCCAGTGTTTGGGATTTTTGCCCTTTGAATGGACCTGAAGCTGGGATTAGTTATAAAGTTACTACAGGTGCAATTCAGCTCCAAGGCTAAATTCATGAGAGTGGTGGTGCTTTGATTTCATCGTCTGTATTTTCAGACAAAAGGAAGATTAAATTTGGGAACCTATCAAAGGTATATAGATTACCTAAATTAATCTATTCCCCAAATTCACAATTCTTATAAATAAGGATTGAGGGTTTACATCTGTGAATGGTGATTAGTGGTTGAATAATGGAGGGAAACTGACATTTCTGAACTTAACAGAGATGTTACTTTAACCTTCTCTAAGCTAAAAAAGAGCTAATGAGATACTGTTCCTGCCCAGGGGGGAAACCACCTTGATCTTAAAACAGCTATCCTTAATCCCTAGTTACATGAATAGAATGAGATAATTATAGCCTTATTACGTTGCCTTACTGGCAAAAATTATTTGGCTAACCTTGTATTAATCAAAAAGAAGACTGTGATGGACTCAATCTAATTGCATGAATTTTTTAAAAATCCAAGAGTTTTTTTTGTGGCTGATGGCTGAAAAAGTAAGAGAGCTTCACAGCATGAGGGGCCACCAGGCATCTGAGCAGCTTCTGGAAGCTCAGCCTGGCTTCCAGCTAACAATCAGTAAGGAAATGGGGACCTCAGCCCTACAACCACAAGGGACTGAATTAGGACAACTTGAACAAAACTGCAAGCTTATTTTCCCCCATGGTTTCCAGGCAAATGGCCAGTCAAGTTGCCATCTTGATTTCTGTCTTGTAAGTCCCTGAGCAGAGAGCATCATAAAATTCACCCAAAGTCTGATCTACAGAGTTGGGCATGATGGTTTTTAAATAGAAAAATTTGTGGTAGTCGGTTACACCCTCAATAGAAAACTAATAAGCCAAATTTATTATTCTTATTCTTAAATCTCTTAACAGCATTCTGTTAAATTATGGAAAATTTATCTTGAACACAGATGGATTTATGCCTTAATCTTACCAACCGATGTTGTACCATGATTAGTGGTAGGTCTTAGAGATATGGAATCAGTGTGATGTTACTACATTTGATGTTGCTTGGAGCTTTATTCACTAACTTTGCATTTCAGGTAAGTGGAGAATGATAATGAAAAAGTCCACCTAATGCAAAATTTGCTTTGTAGGAAATTAAAAATGCCTTCTCCTGATACTATGTATGCCATAGTCTGTCTAAAACACCAGTGTGGCCTTACATTGAGTTCTAGTATGAACCAAGTCCTTTCTTTCTACCTTGTATTTAAATGACTTATGAAAAGGATGATTCCAGAGCACAGCATCATCAAGAGTGACAGTCTTTTTGACAATTCCCACTTCCTGAGTTGACTTTCTCATCATTGCCAATGAGCTCATACAAACTGAGGGTCAAAGAAATAGGATTTGTGATTATATAAGGGCAGGTAGGAAGTTTCATAGTTGAAAATATTGTGAAGGTTAAAAATATGAGAATAATTAATGCAAATTTGAATGCATGAACTGGACAATAACTGAGTTTCGGCAGTGATAAACCATAGAGCCATAGCAATACCCAAACAAGAACATGATACCTTTTCGATTCTGCTCTCCTGGGATTTCTTAAAGTAGATGGTGGGAATGCCCAGCTCGGAGGCGGCTATCCACTGCAGAGTGGCTCTCAGCTCAGCGTCAGGACACTCTGGCTCCAGGTCAAAGTTGATCACCAGCAGGCTGCCCTGGCGGCTGGATGCTCCCACCGGGAGTCCAGGGGCCGGTTCTGCACACAGACACAACCACAGCCTCACTATACTTGCCACAGGGGGATGGTGGGCAAATTGTGTGTCAGAATTACGGGAATGTGGCTTACCCTCTACGTTTTCTGACTGTCCTTTAAGAATCTCCTTCTCTTCTACTAATTCACTTTGGGAGAAAACAACAGTAGATGATTGGTCATGTTTAGGAAGAGTAAGCTGTAAATGGAAGATGAGGTGATGGGTCTTACTGATCTAAAAGCTTCTTACGTTCATTCTGGATTGACCATTGTCACAGAGTGAAGTAATGCTGGGAAAACCAATGAGGCTATGGCAAGGGCTACTGATTCTGTGATAAATACCCCCAGCCCTACGGAACACTGAAAGAAAGGTCTTTAAACCTAGTGGTTTTTGCTGGGGTGACTGGTGTGGGAGACTCTACAAGAACCATCCTTCAATCTACGTCATCTGTCTTCCATAATCCTTTGCAGATTTATATGCCAAGAGGGGATTTTGTGGGACACTAGATCTGGTGTGAAAATTTATATTTATCTCTTTTCTATTTTACTTTTCACTTAACGGACCACGTGTTCCTACATTGATGCCATCGTTTGTTTACACTATGACAACATTTTAGTTTAGGAGAACATGTTTTCTATGTGTATAGCTGGTCTTTTCATCTAAAGCAAGGAAAAATATCAACTGCTAAATTACTTAATGGCTTGAATTTTTTGTTTGCTTCTTTTTATGAGAACGGTGGAGTGGGCTGGAAGTGATTGAGCACTAGAGACTCCCAACGAAAGTGAGAATTTCATTAGATTTGGTCATGTCCAATATTTGAGGTATTTTTATAAGTGAATACTTGTTAGTGGGCATTGTGCCCAGTATGGGAAGCTATGGCCTGACCTGACAGCAGGAAGGGAAGGGGTAATTTTGGGAACCCCATGGAGCCCTGGACCTTGGCTCTGTCTGGAAATTAAAGGCCTGGGCTCTATACCATTTGTCTTTTTTATGAGCTGATTCTCCCTGGTAGTCTGTTACTGCTGGGACCTGGTTGGTAAGCTCCAGCATCTTCCTGATGTTGAAAGAAAGTAAAGTACAGTTGCTCTTTTCAAGTATAGCTAATCATTTGTAGAAAATGTCCAGCTCTGCAGGGCCTAGCGTTTCTGCCAGGTCTATGCAAGTGACACAGTGACATGATTCATGACAGCCAGGATGTGCTGCTAAGGAGCTGTGCGGTGCTGACTTGGGTGGGCTGGTCTTGGTTTCCCCTGAACACAGAGCCTCAGGGGTCCTAGGCTCACATGTGGGATTTATGGATTCAGCATAAATCAATAAGTCATTCCTGTAGGAGAGAGATAACATGCCCCTAAAGTAGATACTTGTTTCATTTTTTGGTTTCCTTTAAAAACAATGCCAACCCCTGGCAAGGTATATGTGCATCTTGACTTGTGAATAATGGCTCTGTGGAAGCACAAAGGATGCCACACAGCCTGAAACCCCTGAGGAACATCCTGCAGATGGGATTCTGGATGACACAGAGAAGTAACTGCACTTTAGCTATAGATAGCCACTAAGGAAATCAGTCAGAGAGCAATGTGAGCATTATAGTTCATGCTCATTTATTTCTCTTTTGGAATTTCAGAAATCTGTAAATAATAAGATAATCCATGATGGTCAAAAGTAGATGTCCATTCACTTATTTTTATAGAATAATGACAAATTCTCGTTGAAATCCCTTTTGGCACCATCTAGCTTAGTTTACTTTTAATTCCTTATCAAATTTGACGTAAGCCATAGTGGGCTTCCTAAGTATTTTCTCCCTTGGTTTTTCAGAGACTTTATGTGGCGGAGAGCAGAGTCCCTGTGTGTTAATGACCGACAACCATCATGGCTCTGTGATAATGGACACGCTTGGTCTTATGAGCTCACATGTCTACAAGCAAAGGCAAAGTCATTTCCTCTACAGATGTGTATTGAATAATGGTCTTTGTTGCTTGTCATAGTAACATTTAAATGGACTTTTGATTCCCTGTGTTCAACTACATATAATGACATCTATTTCTGATGGTGTGGATAAGTTTCACCTGAAATGATTCAATCATCAGGGGCAGATTTGAAGTCCAGACAGTAGGTGGCGTAAGGTAGGGCTAAGGTAGGCCTGAGCTCCTGCCCCAGTGACACGGGACCACAGAAGTACGGACGTAATGGGGTCAGGTTGGCACACGCTGAATGATCAAAATGGATTGCCGATGGAATTGAGTAGCGGTCTCACAATCACTGCATCTCAGTGGCTACTTACTGAATCATAGGAGAAGATGGCATGCTTTCCTGATAAATGTCCAGGTCCATAATGCCAAGACTGCTAGTGGCACTACTGTTGCCATTGCTGACAAAGCAAAAGTTTACATATTAATGCCAGTCTCCGCCACCTGCCACACTGCCGACACCGACATTCCATCGTTCTCAGAGGCGGCTTCAGTGTTTCCCACAAGAATACGGCTGTGTCTAGGACTCCTGGGATATGTATTTCTGACTGAATTCAGGGGAACCCAACAAAAGACATTTGGGGCTCAAGCAGGTCGTCACCACCACCATCACCACTGGTTTCTGCAGTGATGTCACCCCTGCTGGGTCACATCTTGTGTCCGTCACGCTTTCCACTGGAGCCTCCTTGGGTTTACCCACAGAGACAAAGTGACCTGCGATCGCTGGCCCAGGGGCATGCTGGGATGCTTCTCTGCCTGATTCATGGCTTTTGACAGAAATCAGGGATGTACAATGTTCTTCCTTTATCATGCAGGGGAATTTTTCTGAGGGGCACTCCACAGGTTCTGCGCCGGGCTCAGTGTTTCCCTCGGGGCTACAGAGTTCACAGGCGTGCTGATGTGCAATGCCTGCACTTCATTCTCCTGTACCTTAAAATCTCTGAGACGGAGCCATAGCTCATGTCTCTGAATCATGGGGGAGGAGGGCTTGAGCACTGCATCATTCATAGGTTGCGCAATCGACATATGGTCCAGTTACCAACCTGGATCCTAGACAATAGAGTTGAGGTAGTTTGGGGCTCTGCTGTACTTGCAAAAGGAGAGGCATCCAGTGTCATGCATCCCACTGAGTTTCCTCGACTCTATTTCCCAAGATGCCTCTGCCCAGTGAGGTCTTGGAAGGGTGAGTGCCACTGTGTTGTGTGACGGGACCATCTCTTCCTGGAGGACGGTGACTGACCACAAGACATTCCTGTTTTCACTTCACGTGGGGAAGCTAAAGAAGTTCACTGCTTGGAGTCTGGTGATTCAGACACTGCACTGGAGATAATTAACCCTATAAACTGCCAAATCCAGACAGTATATTCTATTTGCTTTTTGTCTCTATCACATTTGTCAACAGTTTTATTTTATTTTATTTTTAGATAAATTGTTTAGCATTGGAAAAATTTCTTAAGTCTAAATGGACTGAACTGCCAGAAATAACACTTGCAAGGACCCAGACAAAGCCCACTGTCCAAGTGGTCTTTCTGGAAAGTCTTCAGATCTGCCCTAGTGTCAAATAAGACTTTGGGCAGAAAAGTGGGGATTCTTTGTGTTTCCATCTCACAGGGGCATAGTGTTTAGTTCGTGCCTCCTGATTGGCTTGGACCTTCTCTTGCTAGTCCAGAGCAGCAAAACAGAGGAAGGGCCAGGCGGGGGCAGGAAAGAGGGAAACCCTTGCCTCAGCTAAACCCAACCTGTGTCACCTCTGAAGGACAAGTGAGCCAGAGAGGAAGTATCGAACACACCAGGTGGAACAGCAGTGCTTATTCCAAAATGTGTAGTTGTCTTCATGGAAGGTGCTTACTGGGACTTGCAGAGAAGGGACCTGGCTGAGCCTCACCTTGGCCAGGTGTAAGCCACACCTGATGCAAAGATGCAGCTCAGCATAGCCGAGGCAGGCAGGCGCCTAGACCTAGCATGCACATTGCTTTTTGCTCTCACTTGCCCTGCAAGTATGTTTTTTGGACTCTGCCTCGAGACTTACTTCCCTGGGAAGTCAAGTGAAAAGCAGGTACCTCATGGATCTGTCACTGAGCTGCAGGAAGCTGCTTGTGTCGTCTGGGTTGTCCTCCTCATTGGCAAGCTGGGACCAGCTGTCTGTGCTCTCTTCACTGCTGCCTGGGGGGTTGGGGGGCTCATCGGGGTCTCCGCCTTCTGTGGAGACTTCAGTCTCTGGTGCGTCTCTGGCACAAAGGCTGTCACTGCAGGCAGCAAGATATTGTTAGCACGAGTGGAGGCTTAAGCCCTACCCTTTGCTGGGGAGCCCCTCATTGCTCTGCTGGGCCTGCATCTTGGCCAGAGCAAGCAGGTATGCCTTGGACACAGGTGGGGTCCTCCTTTAGGCTGATCCTCTGTGGAGCCCAGCCCCCATGATGGCTTTTCAGGACCACATCCCTTCCCACCACTTTCCCATCTCTTCATTTCATCTCTTTCCACCCTCACGCTCTCACGCACCCCTCCACCCCCACCCCCTCAGAACACACAGTGGACAGCAGTGTTGTTCCTAGAGATCACGATTTAATGGTTTTGCAGGGAGGCTCAGAAAACTGCATTTAGTCAACACACCAGGTGATTCTTATGCAGGAAGCCCGCGCTGGAGAGACCCACCCAGCACTGGTGACTTACGAGGTCATTCTGCCTGGAAACACTTCTCAACATTCTCTACTCATGGTCACCTTTACAAATCATTCCCATCCCTGAACCTCTGAATGAGATCAGCCCTGCTTTTCTGGATTAGTGCTTTTTTCAGATCAGATCTCTTTCAGAGCTTTTAATTCTTGATCTGACAGGCCTTCCTCCTTGAATCTGTTCTTCCTTGGGCTCCCATGAATTTCTGCTTCTCTGGACACTCCTTGTTTAGAAACTGGTTCTCGGTTTTCTTTGAGTGTGACCATAGCCAACTCTGGTCAGTTCACTCTCCTTCTCTGCCATCTGCCTGCCCCCAAGCATCGGGTCAATTCTCCTCTATGAAAACACCTTCCAATTCTGAATTCCAGCCAGATCCTTCTTCCTCATTCTGGGGCTCTATTTTCTTTGCATTGACTTTCTGAACATTTCAGTCTGTCTCCTCCACATCTCAAAATCAGCATACTTAAAATGAATTCTCACTGCCCCCTCCACCCCCGTCCTCTCCCTGTTTCTTATCCCTGTTGGCTTTTCTAAATGAAACCATGGTCTCTTTTGCTTTCTTCTTCTTGACCTTTGCGTTCAGTCAAGATCAAGCATTTTTAGTTCCATCACTTTTTGCATACTTATTTCCATTTTTGTGCTCTTGAAATTATCTTTATTTATGTCCCTCTAAATCTGCAGAGGATGCAGAAGCCTAGTCAAATCGAATGACATATCAAGGGTTGGTACCAGACAGGAGACCTTGAAATTTGTAACATATAGGTATTGCTCTGTGACCCTTAACCTGGGCTCTATTTTACCGAGCTCCTAATAGTTAAGCCCCATCGCTTTCTTCTCTCTCAGAACTTCACACTTTGTGAGATTAAGGTTTCTCAGGCAGATCTTGGGCTGGTCTTGTTAAAAGCCTTCAAGATTTCCTGAAGCTACTGAGTCTGTTCTCCATGGCCTTTCTAGTTTTATTGTCTCTACCCTCCTCACTAGACAACGACAAACTATTTGATGTTCTCCAAACATGTCAGGAAGTTCCTGACTCTTGACTCTAGTCTTGCTGCTTCCTCTAAACAAATGCTGGGAACAGAACATGTTTGTTACAGTCCAACTGCCACGGATTCCAGTTCTACCACCAGCCACCTATTCAACTTTAACAAGTAATTAAAATTTTCTGAGAAAAAAAAGATCCACTTTACAAAGATTTTTGGAAGAAATTAACTAGAAAATAAAAGCTTTTAGTGTATGCATGTTATACAATGCCTGGTTTGCAATTATCCAATAACTATAACCTATCATTTGATTTTAGTAAATTATATAATGCATATAGCTGCATTATATAAGTTTAATCACACCCTTTCCTGAAATTGGCTTTTTATTAGCCCTCCATTCTCAACTAAGAGGCTCATACCTGAATTTCCAAGGCTTGGGTCACCTCTTCACAAATAGTCAAAGCATTTACCTATTTTTTTTCTTTTTACCTATTTTTTCTTTTCTTTTTTTTTCCCTACTACTTTGCAATGTTTTACTCTAATGCATGTAATTTTCTGTATATATCATACACTGCACTTGTTATTAAGAATTGTTTTATTTCTATAACATCAACTATTTTAGATGAATATGTTCTTGTTAAAGCATAATGTCACAATTAGACCCATTTAACTATCAGTTTAACTATCTCTCCTACTAAGTCCCAAATAGGAAGATCTGAGGTGTTACCTACTAGCAAGCTGGCCATATCCTGACTCACCATCATATTGCTGTATGGAAGTTTCTAGCATACTTTGCAGCTAACCTGAAAGCCAATGCCAATATGTTCAAATTTCCACTCATTTGTGTAGAACAGAAGCATGCACTCAGACCCCTCCCCCCCACCACACACACACAGAATGTAAGAGTTCTGGAGATGAGAGCTCAGGCCATTTATTTATTCAGTGATGCTCACTTTGCTGCAAATTATAAACAAACCCAAAAATCTTTGAGGATCAGAGGAGACGGTTTCTACTTGCCATGCTACAATATGAAAAAATAGCTCCGTGTCTGTCTAGAAATCTGTATCTTTAGAGTTTGTATAAACTGTCCTTTAATCCTGATGTTCATGCTTTTTGCTCAGAAAATCTTCAGGGTAGAGAAATGCAAACATATTCATGGAACCTTTTCTCCAGACACTACCTACCTACAAAGCAATAGTATAAGAGAGGGCAACAGTGAAAATAAATTATTGTTGCAAAGACTTGACAATCAAAAATGCAAATGGTCCCCAATTTTGGATGGTTCTAATCAATGTATGATGGTTTGACTTAAGATTTTTCAACTATTCCTATGACTCAGTAGAAGCATGAATTTTGAATTCATAACTTGAATTCATACTTTGAATTAAGAATTTTGCCCTTCCCTGTGTTGGGGATACGCAGGATCTCTTTACGCCCCTCCCTCTCCGAGACAGAGCAGCTCAGTTAAGAGCACATTGTTACCCACCAATAGGATGCTATTTTCCAGGAAACCTACTCTAGGCCATTTAAACTGCTTATAGTTGAAGGATATTTCTGCACGGATATGATGACCTAACATACAACAGGTATTTTTATTGGGGGCTGACTTGCATAATGAATTCTGAAGTTGCTATTTTTTTAAATTTTGGTGTATTTAGTTTTTACGAAGCTTTTAGTATGAGTTATGAAAATGTTTCTCAAATTGTAGCCCAAAAAGACCTTCAGGAAATGACACCCACTCTCAAACCAAGCACCTGTGTAACTTCCCTCTCTCATGTGCAAGTGGGTGGAAACTCTTTTGCAGGGAATTAAGCTCTGTATTTAGCTATTTTGACAGATTAAGTTGCATCATATCTCCGAGCCAAAAAAAAAAAAAAATCAACTAAATATGACTAATTTACCCCCTTTGCAATCTTGTTTTTACTCAGTGCTGATGCTGTTCATCATCTTTTGGAGAAAAAAAATCTCCTGGAGCGTACCCTGAGAGAGTTCTGACAAAGGGCCAGGCAGCCAGGCAGAGACCTAAGGGTACATCTTTATTTAACCTCAGTATTCTCTGATGATACCATAATATTACTCTTCCCATCAGTTACCTGTATAAACTGAGAGATTATGGAATTTGATCAAGCTCATAGATTATCAGGTTAGTTGGTGGGTTTTACTTTCTGTAAAAATGTTTATATACTCCACAAAGGAAAACATATTTACTACTTAGTCCTTATATTTTGGAGACAGATCAAATCTAGAATTTCTTTTATCATTGAGAAGCCAAATCAGAAATCTATCCTGATCCAGTTATGTATTTTGGGGCATCTGGGTTGCTTCCATAGCTTACCTATTGTAAATTGTGCTGCAATAAATATAGGGGTAGAGGTTCTTTTGAATTAATGTTTTTATATGCTTTAGGTAGATTCCTAGGAGTGGAATTGCTCTATCATATGGAAGCTCCACACAGCTCTCCATATATGACTGGATCAAGGTGTGGTATATTTACACAATTGAATATTACTCAGCAATCAAAAAGGATAAACTCAGGCCCTTTGCAGCAAAATGGATAGAGCTGGAAGGGATTATGCTCAGTGAAATAAGGCAGAAAGAAAAAGAAAAAATATCAAGTGGTCTCACCTATAGGAAAAATATAGAGAAAACAAAAAAGGAATAAAAAAAGGAACTATAATAAAATCAAAATCATCAGGCAACTATAGATCAGAGACAGTCTATAGGAGAAGAAGATGAAGGACTGAGACAGGTGGGAAGAGCACAAGGGTCTATGGTAATAGTGCAGGGTGGTGGGAATTTCCAGGGGAAACCATATATTGTACAAAAATGAAGGATGATATCATGAACATGTTAAATTAATAATAATAAAAGAAGAAATCTGTATCATGAATTGAAGAACAGGTGTTCAGTTCATTATATAGAACATAAGCCTAAACCAGCTGGAAGCTGTATACATGAGTATTTTCCATGTTTTTTTGAAAAAGCCCAGAGTATAACCTCTTTTAAGTATAATATTAGTAACAACTCAAATTTTTTAATATCTATATATAATAATAATTTTTTTACATCATTTTGTGCCTTTTTCCATCTCACTTGTAATCTCCATGGGTTCCCATCACCAAATCACCCATGTGCCATCACCAGAGTCCATTGCACTTCTCTCTTCCCACCCCATTTTTGATCCCATTCCCCACTCCACCCCCACAAAATGTCTCTGGTATATAGTTGTTCATTATTGTTATTATTTTCTCCCCTGGTCCTTTATACTCCTGATATGAGTGAAACTAGGCAGCACTTTTCCTTTTCTTTCTGGCTTACTAAACGTAGCATGATCCCTTCCAGTTCCATCCATGTTGCTGCAAAAGGCATTTGTTTATCTTTTTGATTGCTGAGTAATATTCCATTGTGCATACGGACCCATCTTTTTAGTGCAGTCATCCACTTTTGGGCATTTGGGGTGATTCCATGTCTTTCCTATTGTAAATAATGTAGCAATAAACATGGGGGTGCAGGTGTCTTTTTGAATCAGTTTTTTTTGTGTCTTTTGGGTAGATACCTAGGAGTGGGATTGCTGGGTCATATGGAAGCTTCATTTTTAGCAGTTTGAAAAACCTCCAAACAGTTTTTCATAGTGGACAACTCAAAAATTTTAATAAACTTTAACTTCAGTGCCAACCACTACTTGATGTGAACCTACGACTGTGGATTTTGTTGAATTAGTAGTTCATGAAAGTTCTGGACTATAGAACTTTCTTTGACTCAATTCACAAGTGGTTTATGATCTTAGAGCACCTGGAGGATCAAAGTCACCTGGAATCTAAATAAGGCTTTTCCATTTTCTCTTATCTCAAATTAAGGTTTAAAGAATTACACATTGATCATTTCATTTCCTCAACTCTTTGATTATATTTAAATATGTGTCAATCTCCAGGCTTCCTAGAGATGGGAGAATAAGGGACGACTGGAAATAAATATTTTCTATAGCTGGAGAAGTATTGCATCTAAGAACTTTTCTTGGTCAGCCTGCCTGTGCTTGGCTTAACTGTGTGTCCTTTTGCATGTGTTTTTATGCTTTCTTCTTCCCTTCTTCTTTTTGTCTTTCTTCCAGGGTTTCATCCAATTAGAAAATTATATTTTGGCCCTGCCTATTGGCACAACAGGTTAGGATGCAACATTGCAAGCTAGCCACAGCTACTTCGGTGTGAGTTTGATCCCTGGCCCCAGAGGTGACTCACATGGCACAACAGACGTCTCCTGACCTGTCCGCTGCTCCCCTCAGCAGTGTACTTCATCGATCTGCCTGTTCTACTCCCTACCCTGTCTCTGGTGAAGCCTCTCACCACCCCTGCACCTCTGGCCTATACCCCAATTCTGTAGGCATAAATAAACAAATCTTTGAAAAAAAGAAAATTACATTCTAGGCACCAAATAGTTATGAAGAAAATACTCAAGGGCCTCTGGACCACCTTCTGCTCAGGTTCTACAACAAAAGGCAGGGCTATCATTGCCTCTCATTTATTCCCTGGGGTAGTCGGGAAAGGAAAGGGGACTTGGAAGAGCAAGGATGTTGAGCAAGGCTTGTGTAGTGCAGCTAAACATTTAAAAGTCACAAGCTCTTGTGCAACAAATAGATACCACTGAAGAGATTATACTAGTTATTTCTCCAGCTTCTGTTTCCCAAAAACAGAAGCTTAGTTTTCCTTTTATTATTATTATTTTTTTGCCTAATTTGTCTCTAAACCCCCCACTTAAAAATGATCCAAATCTCATTAAACAGATGTGGTACATATATACAATGGAATATTACCCAGCAATCAAAAAGATAAACTCATGCCTTTTGTAGCAACATGGATGGAGCTGGAAGGGAGCATGCTTAGTGAAATAAGCCAGAAAGAAAAGGAAAAATGCCATATGGCTTCACTCATAGCAGGAGTATAAAGGACCAGGGGAGAAAATAATCATAATAATGAACAACTATATACCAGAGACATTTTATGGGGTGGAGTGAGGAAGGAGATCAAAAATGGTGGTGGTGGGGGGGGGGGAAGTGCCCTGGACTATGGTCATGGCACCCGGGTGATTTGGTGAGGAGAAGCCCACAGGGATTACAACTGAGATGGAAAAATGCACAAAATGATGAAAAAATAAACTATTATAGTATTTAAAAATAATAAAAATAAAAAGATCCAAAGTCTCATATTCAAGAATCTGATGAAATTTCTATAGAAAATGGGAGCTGTCAAAGGAATTGACTCTGCTTTAAGCAACCAGAGAGGGATAAGTCTCTGGCTTCTAGTTTAAGAAGCATCATGAAAAGCACTATATTGAAAAAGCAAACCTACTGCCCTCCTGCTGCCACGGTTAGACCAGACATCTGAAAGGCCCGCGCTGTGGGACACAGCGCACTTGCAAAGCTATTTAAAGCATGACAGTAAAGGAAAACTTGAAAGGAGAAACTCAAAGAAACACCCCATTAAAATGCCAGGTGCTAGTTTTAAAATTTATTTAAATTTAGTCTTTTTCAAATGAACAAGTTAATATAATTTCCTTATTGGTTTGAAAACATGCTACGAGTTTTAAAAGTGGCCATGTTCTGGAAGATTCTTTTTAATGGGGAAAATGCTACCTTATTTCCTCTGTCATACAGGTGAATTTCATTTGCTTAAGAAATTTCAAAGGGAGGCTTCCAACTTCCTGTTATAAGTGCATAAAGATACAAAGGTTAGGTGTTGTCTCAGAATTCATTTCTTGCCTTGGTAAAATCCTTACAATTTAGAAATAAATACGAATTAAGAGGCACACTCAGGCCGCAGGCTCCCTGGGGAGAAATGAAATCGCTCACCTGTGTTTCCGGCATGCACTCATGGCCTCGTCTCCACCTCTTGCCACTTCTGCCTCTTGTTCTTCTTTCAAAGGCTCGTCTGCTGTCTCCAGGGCGCTGCTTTGGGAAAGGAAGCCTGCAGGTTCTCCAGCACAGTCTTCTCTCTGATCTGCTTCAATCTGAATTAAAGGCACGTCTCTTGGACAAAGTGGTCTCCTGGCGCGGCTTACCTCACGGCACGAGGAAATGTCCTTTTTAGAATCTAAACTGTTGTGAGTGGCAAGAGGAGCAGGCGTGCTCGCGGCCGACGCCGGGGGTTGGCTGCTTTCCCCCACCGAGTCCCTCCTCACGGAATGCACAGAATCCGGCCTGCGGTGCCCCAACCCGCTCGGCGCTCTACTGGGCACGCGCGGCCCTGAGGGCTTGGCCACCTGCAAAGCAGAGCTGCGCTCCGCAGCTCCCGCTTCATCCACGATGATTTTGTTCTTCCGCATGAGGGCCTCGATGGAGTTTGCCCAGGTCTCATGGATCAACCGGCTGGTGATCTGGTCAGTGCCACTTCTCCGGTACAAGCACGAGTCCGATTTGCAGAGCCCGGACGAGGACACACTACTGGCCAGCTGCACGCTTAGGAAATCCTGCTGGCTGTTTTGCGCAAAGCCATCTAAGGAGCTGGCTTTGATGGGCGCATTCACGGTCAGCCTGGCGCCCGGGGGCCGGCTGTCTGGCACGGAGGACTGTCTGTGGCACAGCGGGGAGCGCAGAGAGGGCGAGAGGAAGCCAGCCGTCCAGTCCTGGCTGCCCCGTCGGGAGGCGGGGGCGTCCCGGCGCTCCCTTTCCAGGTCCCGTAGCATGTACCTGTAGAACTCCTCGGTGATGCTGTCTGTGCTGGACTGCTTCGAGGGGCAGCTGGACCTCACGCTCAGATGCTCGCTTTTCCGACAGGCCTGTTGCATCGCCGAACTCAGGATGCTGCTGGCGTTCTTGCCTGCATAGTAATCCAGCAGCAACTCAAATCCCCGCCCTTCGCTCTCCATCTGGTTCACCATGAACCTGGAAAACTCATCCGTGATGCTCTCGCAGCTCGACTGCTTGGAGACCGAGCTGGCCCTGCTCACCGGCTGGCTCCGGGCGCTCGCCAACCCCAGGCTGTTGACGAAGGCCCTGGTCTGGCAGTCCTCCTCCGGGATGCTCTCGCAGCTGGAGGCCTTCAGCCTATTCCACCGGTCCCCGCTCAGCAGGCGACTGCGGGAGCAGCCCTGGGCCTGCCAGACGCCATCCACCATGGAGAAGTCGGTCAGGTTCATGATCTTGGCAGCCACTTCGTTGGCGAAAGCGTTGACAGAGTCGGGGACATCTTCGAGGTTCACGGACTCATCCACCACTCTGTTCATCAGCTTCTCTTTCAGCTCTGGGTGCTCGTCGGTTTTTCGTTTGATCTCGCTCAGTCGTGGGGGCTTGTGCTTCCTCAGCGCCCCTCCTGTCTGGCTTTCCTTCTTCCTCTTCAAGGACCGGCAGGAGACATTCGGGGTCATCAGAAACTCACTCCCTCTTCTCCAAGCACAAAACCAGGGTTGTTTTCCATTGGAGTTGTCAAGGCAAATCGCAGCGATTTCCGTTGCCATGGAGACAATGGTCTCGGCTAACTCTTCTGCAAAGTCTGTAATGCAGTAGAGGTCTGCGGGTTTGGCCGGCATCGAGTCCTTCCCGAACAAAGACAAGCTTCCCGGGACTTCTTTTACAGGTGAGGCGCAAAGGTGCTTGTCCGGGGTGTTGGGCCGGACGCTGCCCTCCGCACCCTGAGAACCGCCGCGGCACTTGCTGAGTGTGGGTGTTTTTTCTCCCTCTGGAGAGCCTCTGCAGTCACCCCCGTGGTGGCTGTGTCTGCGGTGAGGGGTTCTGGCGTCCTCTCTCACTATTCCTTTCAGATCTGTTTCTGTGGGGAATGTTTCAGCGACTGGCGAATCAGGCCCGCTGGGACCCCGCGACAGCTCTGCCGGCAGCTTGGGGCTCCTGCGGAGACCTGGCCTCCCTGCACCTTTGGCATCTGGCTTTGGATGCTGGTCATGTTCAGGGTCACTGACAGCAAGGCTGGGGCGTCGGGAAGTGCTGAGCGGATGGCCGCGGGCGTCTTCAGGGGCCTTCATGCACTCGTGCCAGGCCGCGGGGTCAGGTGGCTGGTCATCTCCTTCTGCTCCCCTCCATCCGATGGACTCTTTCGAAAGGGCAGTGGCACATTCGCCAAGCTGGAGGATATGGCGCATCTTCTTGAAGGTGGAGCATATCACATTGAGGAGCAGCTGGTGCGTCGTTTCCATTAAGAGGTCTAATGTTTCTGATGAATGCCTGCCATCCACGGGGCCCATTATTTTATTTTTCTGGTGAACTTCATCAATGGAATGCTTTAGGATAATACTGGACATGGTCTGTGCCAGTTCATTCCCAAGGACATTTTCTGAGCACAAGGGCTGAGGCTTGGAAGCTGTTTCTATAATTCTCCGGGTCATGGACTCCACGAGGTCTCCCATGCTGCTGTAGGCATTAGGCTTGGTCAACACCAGAGCAGTCTCCCTGAGCAATGCCTCTGCCATCGCTTCCCTTCCCAGCTCCACATTCCTCACAGTGCTGCAACTGCGGCCTGCAGAGGAGGCTGCAGAAGTCTGGGCTGCAGGTGACAGGTCGCTGGAAGCCGCAGGGCACTTCGCGTCTCCCGTGACACCCAGGCCACAGACAGCCACTGCACTTGCCACTTGAGTCATGCCACACAAGGCAGATGGAAAGGAGTATTCGCTGGTGGAAGGTTCCTGGAGTCCTTGCAACACTTGCATTTGCAGTGGCTCATTGCCTCCCAGTGGGTGGCGGGCTACCAGGGATTCTTGTTCCATCTTGAGCCTTTCTGTGGCCTGTGGACTGGAAATGGTCCCGATCACAGTGGCTGCACAAGCCAAGGCGACTTCTAAAGTGCTCTGTGGGTGTCTGCCAGAGTTCTCTGCAGAGAGCACATCCGAGAGTTCTGCAGAGACTTCCGTCTCCAGCCACGAGGAGAGGCCCAACTCTGGGGCAGCCCCGCTGCCATCTGGACTCTGGATGATGACGATTTTGGGAAGCTCATTCCAGGAGCGTGGGGCCACTATATCCTTTGTGGGACAGCCATTGGGCATCACAGCACTTACCGTGGAACTGCTGACTGCAGATTCCCGGCGTAGTGGCGGTTGAGATAATCTAATAAATGCATCTTGCAGCACAGATTCTGCTAAATTGGTAGCATATTCACCAGTTGTGGCTTGTCCATCTACAATGGAAGGAACAGAAGTCATTCTATAGTCACGGTCTCCTGGATCTAAGTCGCTTCCACATTCGACAGCAAACCCACAGGAATAGGGCCCGTCTTGCGTGGCCATCTTAGAGAAATCAGCATCCCCTGCGGTGTGCAGAGCCTGGGAGCTGTTCACTTGACCTTTAAAAGCTTCTGAACAATAATAACTTGTGACTGGTCTCTCGTAATCCCCAGCTTTGCCATTCTTCTCTGCTGGCGTGGCTGAGGGATCTAGATTCTGCAGGGCTGTGTCATCTGCCACTTTTCCCGGAGAGCCTTCTATTTTCAACAATGGTGTAAGATATTTGTTAATGTATTGGTCTTCTAACGTGTCAAGTGACTTTTCCTTGTAATTCCATTCCTCCTGGATAGCTTCCTTTTGCTTACTTTTCAAAACACTGGCAGAGACATTTTTATTTTCATAACCTAGTGACAAGAAAATGAAGGCCATGATTACTTTTGAGAGACGAGGTTCTTATGAGTCTAAAATAATCACTTCTAAAAATGTCTTTAAGCATTGGTTATTTTTTCCTAAATAGCATTTTGTACACTTGTTCAAGAAAAATAAACCAGGAAATACTTTTGAGTTTCATCTGGGGATGCCACTGGACAAAATGGCCTCAGTATGAGGCTGATGTCAGCTCTATGGTGGGAAAAAGCAGTGGGAGACGAGGAATGGCCACCATCCTTCAGGGGAGAGGAACCCCAACTCTAGAAGTGCCCAGTGGGTACAGAGGGAGGAAGGAGGAGGTTTATAGCAAATTTGATAGTGAGTTTTTTTGTTGTTGTTATTTTTAGTTTTTGCAAAGATTTCCCCTGAAATCTGCAACAAGGCCCAGCAACAAGGCCTAGTAACATCTAGAACATTCCTGTCTCTGCCGCCAAGCATGTGCAAGAGGTATCTATGAACCCCAGAACTGAACTCTATTCATGAGTCAACCCAAAGAGCAAATAAAGAGTGCTAAGCAGACTTCGGGTGATTTTCCTTCTATTCTCACAGTAACAATAATATGTAGTTAACAACCATAACTATACAGTTAAACATAATGAACGTAATAGTGTTAGAGCATTATATACTCAGGAAACTGGGGCTCAGAAAGACCAGATCCATCGTTCTGGGGCTGACAGCTATGCCAAGACCAGACTAATTGGGCTTCCACCTGTCAGTGGCTTCTATAAAAGTCTTAGAGAAACCGACTTTGCTTCCAATGGTGGGCTCCATCTCCTCATAGGCAGGAGGGTTTCCATCAGCACCCTATGGCATTTCATGGGGTCGGAGCCATCTGAGCACTGAATCTGCTCAGGGCATTGTCACCATCGTCACGACGTCTGATCCTTCTTCCCTCCCTAAACTCAGTGAGTGAAAACGGCGATGTGTCAGCCAAACGGATGTGGCCAGAAACTTCTCTGAAATTCCAGCCAGACATTTTATGGCGTGACTCACTTCAGGATGTACATTGGTTTTATTGGCAAGTTCTCACCGTCCCTGGCTTCCTCCACCTCGCTCTCCTCCTCCAGGTGCTCAGAGGCGGTGAGAAAGTCTTCCTCGATGGAAGATAAGGAACAGTTTGTGTCATCCTCCACTTTCAAAATGCTCGTTTCCAGGTGGAGCTGCTGTTCCTGCACCAGCTCCAGACCAATCAAAAATTTGTTGATTTCAAAGATGATGCAGTTGGTGCTGTTCGGTCTGTTCCCTCTGGCGCACTGGACCAAGCAGATATCTGGCAGCCAAGGACACTGGAAGGGGAGGAAAGGACATTTATTAAAAGAGAAAATGAAAAAAAAAATTGCCTCTGACCTTTATTCTCCCACTAATCTGTTGGAAGCAGAGGCAACTGTTTGAAATAACTTCTGGGCTTTTATTGATGAACTACTTGAAAAAATTCAGGGGCTGTTTGTTTGGGAACACAAGGTACCTAGGAGAAAGTTCAGCTTAGGGGAAAATAGACCATTGTATCGTATGTTTTTGTTCTCTCCTGTCAAAACAACAATTGCACTGGGCAAAGTTAAGCAACAGACAGGACTTTCTTCAAAGCTATTAAAATAGGGAGAGAAGCCAGAACTGAGTTGGATCACAGCTTCTCTGAATCAAAAGGCAATGGGGATTTCAAGAGCTGTAGGAAGGCTGCGGGCCATCTGTGTTTGCTAATTGGCTTTACAAAAAGGACAGCTAGATTTTCTTGTACCTTTACAGCAAGAGATCATTTTGAAGTTAGTTTCCTGTCCTTCTATGTAACTCAGCCTTTCTTGACTGTATTTCAAAGAGAGGGCAACTATACCCCCCCATTAGTTTAATGAGAAATAATTTAAATATATCACTAAATAAGCTTTTCTATAAGATTATATATATTTAAGCTTAAATATATCACAATAGAAAGTACACCATGATGACTTGATTTATATAGAGTGGTACAACTAACACAATAGCCAGCATCTCATACAGAGTGAAAAGAGCAAACAATTCTCTTCTGGGTGAGAACTTCAGATCTATTCACCTCAGGAATGTCAGCCATTAACTGGAGCCCCCAGCCACTCTCTCCATCCCTTGAACTCACCTACCTTGTAACTCAAGTTCATGACATTTGACCATCTCCCTTCCATTCTTCCTTATCCCAACCCCATCCACTACCTCCAATCCTGGTAACCACAAATCTGATCTGATCTGCTTTCTGTGCTGCTGTGATGGTTACTTTCTTTTTGGATTCCACATAAGCAAGATCATATAGTGTTTTTCTTTCTCTTTTGCAAATGATTATTTATGATTGAATGATATCCCATTCTAGATTTTGTATAGTTCATTATTTTTCTATTACATATTTGTTATTCCACTAATAGATATTACATGTTTCATTATATATAATGTATATAATAGATACTACATGTTATTGTAGAATAATACACTTTATATGTAATAAGATATTTCACTTGAACAATATGGCATACTGTTTTTTAACCTATTTATCCATTGATGGGCAGTTAGGTTGTCCTTTCCTGGCTTGTGAAACTGGTAAGAAACTTTAAAAAGATTTACATCTTAAATGGCGGCGAATATGCTGATACATTTTCTAAAGCAAATGTTTTAGCAAAGGGAGGTCAGGAAGGATTTAGAGGCATAAAGAAGATTGTCTAAAGTTTAATAGAGAGCTGCACAGACAATCAAAGCCACCTTGAAACCCCTCGTGTTTAAAGTGAATCCCAGTTTCTCAGACCAGTATCTCTTTCTGCTTTGGTGACCAACCTCTGTTAGCATTTCAGATGTGATGCAAGTTTCTATCAGTTATAGTCAGCTTGTGCTGCTCATCTGAACAAGCAGTCAAGATGAGATTCAAAGGAATCCCCCTCTGGAAGAGAAATCCATGAGTGAATTAATTTTTGTCTTCTACCTAAATGGATGGTGTATGGGGAGACGGTGCCTTCTAACACCTATTTGTTCTAATCATCTCTAGGGTTATCAGTTCCCAGTTTTCCACCACTTATTTGAATCTTCAGGCTGTTGTCGGTTAGAATAGCATGAAAATGTTCAAGTAACTTGCTGTTTTAGAATCTTTGAGTCTGAGTGTATGTGTATGAGTAGTGGGTATCTGTACATACAAAGAAATAGAAGCACACAGATGCTCATATTGTATTCCTGAAAACAGTATATCTTTTTTCCTACGTAAATATCATTTCTCAATTTCTTTCATTAAATATTATGAGAGTAAATCCAGGAGCGATGATTATGAAATGACAAACTGACTCATCTCCATGGGCTCCAGTGATGTTAGGGCTCTGAGAAAACCACTGCTCTACATCTTACATGCTTAAGTCTATTTTTCAAGGAAAGTGCTCCGTGGCCTTGCTTGTGTGCTGTAAACCAGCAGACTCAGAATCTTCTAGGAGATCCTTAGAAATGCACATTCTCAGGCCCCACCCAGGCATTGACTAAACCGGAAGGTGCATTTTCAGGCAAACTTTTGGGGATGTGTACATGCATTAATATTTGAGAAATACTAGTCTATAGCTCTTATGAAATTCACAAAGGATCTGTGGCCCTTCAAATGGTAAGGAACCACAGCTATAAAATAATAGCAGCTGATGTGATTCATTCCTCACTACTGATTCCACACATAGTGTATTTGCTGGAAATCTGCTAGATGCTTTCTGAGGGCCTATTATATGCAAGGCCTAGTGGGCATTCATATGAAAACATGAGTCAGATAATTTCCCTAGGGTAAGTAGAGTATAGCATAGTATACTATCGGTGAAATCAGACATAAATAAATGTAATTACATAACTGAACATCTTTGCAGGTCAACAGGCTTGAATATTGGTCGGTTCATATGATTTAGACGAAACAGACATGGCATAAACAACATATATTGTGGTAGGAGTCAAAGGGATATTGACAAATCAACATGAACAGTTAAGTCATACTTGAAGACAGACTTAGAGAAGAGCTGTTATTAAATGTGCAAATTTGCAGAGCTATGGGATGTGTAGAAAGAAAACATTTTTCTCAACACTCTTCTTGAAAGTAAATAAGAACTCTGGAAGGACCTGTATAATCAACCTTAAAACTATAGCCTGCAAAATAATGGCAGATCTTATTATTTATTTTTCATGGAAATCTGTTAGGTGCTTTGCATATCTTCTTAATGCCAATGCATTAAGGTCAGTAGTGCTGTTGCTCTGTGACAGGTGAGAAGTCAGAGGCATGGAAAAGTCCTTTCAAGGTAACACAACATGTTTATGTCATAGAAAGCACTGTCACAGATAAATCTTACGTTCGTACAGAATGAGCATCTCAGGAAAAAAATCTTTTTTTCCGTAGGAAAATAACTGATTTCACTTCTGTTTCTCACTTGGTATTTAACTTGACTAGTGGTTTTTGTAATTATGATTTTTTGTTAAGGTTTTAAGTTATTCTGAGATTTCTGAGTCTTATCTTGACTAAGAATGGATTGAAAAGTCAAGTCATTATCTTGGGATGGCTAGTCTGTATTTACTAGGTTAGCTGGCTTAAATAAACAACACCCAGAATGAAGGAATTATGGATTCTGGAAACAGGATATGAATTAAAAAATTGGTGTCGTTACTGAAACAGAAGACACTTCTGTTTTTGGTTATCTAGAAATCTAAGATGTTTAAATCATCTTTTTTATTCTTCAGTAGTTCAAACTCTCTAAACACTCAGAAGCCCATCCACCATTTCTTTCTCTGTGGCAGATGCTTCATAAAAATTGACACACAGCCCACCACAACTTGCTAATCAGACTAGAACAAAACGAGAAAACAAACGCACATCATTTTAATGTGTAGCCGTGTTGTGTATCATTATCATTATATATCTTTGAGAAAGTTAATCTCTTATATAATGACCTTTAAAAATCTTTTATATATCTTTGATTAATCAATTTAACATTTTTATTTTTCTTTAAAACTTATTACACTGACACTGTTTATCTAAAATAACAATGAATATTAATATGTTGAATGATAATAAAAATATTGCAATTTCTTCTTTATTTCTAGCAATATTCTTTTCTTCTTGAATTTCATTCTTTGATTCCTGGAAATACCCTTTCATCTCTGGGACTGATATCCATTATTTATTAGGTTAGTTGGTTTGGTATAGCTTAAATAAACAGCATCCTGAAAGTAGATATTGTGGATTCTATAAACACATGATATGAATTAAAAAATGGTATTGTTTCCAAAACAGAAGACACTTCTCTTTTTGATTATTGAATAGACTTGCAGAAAATCAAGCTGCCAGTCGAAGTGTAATATGTCTATTCTTGTTTAGTGTTGCACTTAAAAAGATAATATATGTTAGGGGTGATATAAGGGAAGCTCTGTCAATACTTTGGAAACATACCCATGAAGACGTTCTTGAGTACAAAGATAATTTTATTTCTGTTGCAACTGGAGTTTATGTATGGCATCTCCGAGGATTTAACCTGACTTGTCCTAAGAACTGACCACAGGTATCTTATCAGTGCTTCTATTCTTACCTGTGAAACTTCAAAGTCAGCCTGGAGTTTTCCAGATGTTAACCCACTCAGAAGGACAATTTCATTTTCTTTTGGCTGTTGGACATTCATGGAGCTGATCAGTTTTGGAAGATCTGGTGAAACATTGACCAGTTTCTGTAAAGCAAGAATCTTTGTTAGGTTAGATGATGCTACACCAAAACTGTTACTTCAAAAGTAATATACTCACTTAACTAGCAATTTTTTAATATACTAAGAGTTTTATTAATAGATGGTACAAAATCAAAGTACAAAAGCTTGGATTGGAATAGAAAAATCCTTATATGTAAACATTTAAAACTTTTCTTGTAGATTTTCCAAAATAAACATTTAATAATTACTGCCATACCACAGATACAGAGAGTAGTTTGGGTCTTTATTTTTCCTCCTAAGGCCTTGAATAAGAGACTTGTTGAGTAATATCCATCTGTTCTAATAAAGTCAATAATAATATTAACAATAAACTAGTCACTTTAAATTTGCCCGTGTTTTAGGCACAGTGCTAACGACTACACATAGGTTACATCCCACCACACTTAATCCTCACAACACAGCACTAGGTCCTACTCTGTTATGTTCTATTTACATAAAATGAGACTATGTTCCAGAGAAGATTAATACCTTGCCCAAGCTTATGTAGCTAAATCAGTGCCAAAGTGCTTTCTCATAGGACAACAGAAGAGACTGCCTTAAACCACTTCTACATTCTCCACGTGCACAGTTCTCGGGATGCTAACACACTGTGGCCTTTCTTGTTCTCTGTACTTAGTGGAAACCTATAATGCATAATCACTATGGTCCATTTGAGAAGCTTCTGGTGTAGCATCATCAAAAAGAAAGCATTTCAGGAGTAACCGAGTAATTGCAGGTCTCCTTATTTCTGATAATCAAGCTGCAGTATGGCGATTATGCTTTGGACAGTGTTACACTAGTGAATGCCAGCCATTACCATCTTTGTGCATGGAACAATAAGCATGTCACACCCAAATAATTTTCTTCATTGGAGCCACAGGCTTTGTTTCTAAGGTTCTGAATGGGTCTTCAAATTCTTGCATGCAGTAAGGATTTATATTAGGATCCTCACAACCTTGGGCAAACTCTTGCCATCTGTAGCCACAGCAGAAAGCATATCTGAGCCCCGGATGAAGGTAGGGGAGAGTTACAGGTAAGAGAGAACCATTTGGTGAAAGAAGCAGGAAGGCCACAACTTGAGAGCAAGTGGGTCGGCTGGTATCACACAGGTTTTGAGAAAACCTAGGAAAAGCCAGCAGGTGGGGGTGTTTGAGAACAGAAAAAGCCATTCTAACAGCACTGGAGCCAAGGGAAAGCCTCTGTTTGGAGAGCAGCTCCATCCGGTTGGGAAGCAGCTTTCATAAAGATAAGGAAGGAAAAGTGTGTGGGCAGGTGGCAGGTAAAATGTCAGGGAAATGGACGGAGATGAAATCATTAAAAATCCCCCTCATTTTTCTTTTTCAAAATTTCACATAATTCTTCATTTTTGTACAATGTATGTGTTCTCTCAAGTGTAGTCTCTGTGGAAATCCCAGCAGTTTTACCTGTGCACTATTGACTCAAAGGATACAAAAACATTACTTCAAGAAGACACCTGCACCCCTATGTTTACTGCAGCACTATTTACAATAGGTGGCAACAACCCAAACACCCAAGAAGATGTGGTCTATCTACACAATGGATTATTACTCAGCAATCAAAAAAAGATAAACTCTTGCCATTCAAAAAAACATGGATGGAACTGGAAGGGATGATGCTCCATGAAATATGCAGGAAAGAAAAAGAAAAGTATTGGATGGCTTTCCTCATGGAGGAATGTAGTGTAACCCCATGAGGGAACAGAAAGCTCCTCATTATTTGCAGATGAAATCCTGCAGCCTCTTCCCTGTAGCCAGCCCTTGTCACGGGTTCCAGGGGAACACAAGTTGCAGGGCTACCTGCTGCAGGTGCTCACAGCTGCCCTCATTCTTGTTTACGTCCAGGTTCACAAAGCAGACCTGTAAAAGGGGCAAAAACAGTTCATGAAGTGAAGTCTGGCAGTATTTCTCAAAAAAAGCAGGAATCAGTCTGGAACAAATGATTGGAGAATCTGCACACATTTTACACAGAGGATCTGGTCCTCTCATTTTTAATATAGTGCATGGAAAGTGGAATTCTCTTTGTTTTATAGTTTTTGTTATTTTTAATTTATGTTCTCTTCATGTTTTCCTCTTAGGTATCTTATGAATAAGACAAACTACTTAATCAAAATTAGCCAATAAAAATTTGTTAGGATTATTATGTGTTTTATGACCAACACATCATAGAGAAAACAAAACAAAACAAAACAAAAAACTTCTACTAGGGCATTCAGATGCAGATGGGGAAGAGAAAACTTAAAATTTCAAAGCAGAAAGACATGTTCTTGAAAGATAAGTAGGATATTTTGGGTTGAAGGTGGGAATCATGTTTTTATGGTTTGGTCTCTACAGTTTCGAAAGACCTTGTTTAAGAAAAAGCATAATGTATTTGATAATTCTAAGTGAGATGTGAAAGTGGGATATTTATCTATTTGGACAGAACAAAAACAAACCTCAAATATCACAAATATGACAACATCCAGCAAAACACCCAGTAATAATGAACTACCAGTGCAACCCCATCATACTTTTTTCCTGTGCTTAGTTCCATTCTCTTTAATCATTTCTTCACATAACAGAAGTTTAAAAATACCATTTTGCCTAAAAGAATAGAATTGTTTTTACTCTAATATGTTATCAATGGATCTTTTTTAGTTTCACAGTCTTCTTTTCTTTCTTCGGACAAATACCTAGGTGTGCGTATCCTGGTCATATGGCAGGCCCATTGTTTTTTTTTTTTAATAATATAATAGTTTGGCCCTCCCTGGTGGCACAGCGGGTTAAAGCACAGCACTAAGAAGCTTAGCCATGAGTTCGATCCCCGCCTGCCCCGGAGGTGACCACATGGCGCGGCAGACCTCTCCTCACCCACCTGCTGCTCCCCTCAGCAGTGTACTTCGACATTCTGCCTGCTCTGCTCCCCACTCTGTCTCTGGTGAATCCCCTCACCCTCTGCATCTCTGGCCTGTACCCCAGCTCTGTATGAATAAATAAATAAATCCTAAAAAATATATATTATAGTTTATTTTTACATCATTTTGTGCCCTTTTCCATCTCAATTGCAGCCCCATGGGCTTCCCAGCACCAAGTCACCCGTGTGCCATCATCATAGTCCAGTGCACTCCCCTCCCCCACCATGGCAGGTCCATTTTTAAACTTTTGAGAAACCTCCATACTGTTTTCCAGAGGGTCTGCACCAGTCTACATTCCTGTCTTTCCAGACCATAGTCAACTTCCCTTTGCCTTCATAAGATAGTGAGTTCATATGGGCAGACCCTGTTTGAACTGGATGCTTCATGCCCAGCAAGGCTCCACATTTGCTAGAGCTACTAAAGGCTTGTTGTGTGTGTGTGTCTGAATAATGGACAAACACTACATGTAGAAGTAATTCCCTTATTTAATTAATACAGTCCAAATGGTCAATAAACAAAATTTTCTTCCAATAAAGATATAACAGAATATAAAATTATATGTGTGTGTGTGTGTGTGTATACACACACACACACACACATATGGTGATTATATATAGTTTGTATACAGATTAAAGTAATACATATACTATATGCTGCATATAATATGTATACCATATATATTCTACTATACTATAATACAGAGTACATCATGTATACAAGCAATAGATAGCTATATATAGATTTAACTATATAAACTATATGTCCATGATATATACCATAGATAACTCGTTATACTGTATAGAAATAGATACATGTGTGGGCCCTCCCTGGTGGTGCAACCAGTTAAAGAGCATCACTGCGAAGCGAGCCACATCTGCTTTAGCACGAGGTCAGTTTCCAGGAACTGACCCACAGGGAGCAGCAGACCTCGCCTGCCTCCTTTGCTGCTCCCCTCAGCAGTCAGTCAGCCTGTTCTGCTCCCCACTCTGTCTCTGTGAATCCTCTCAGTCTCCCTGCACCTCTGGCCTGTACCCCAGTTCTATATGCATAAATAAATTAAAAAAGAAAAAAAGTAGCAGATATATGTGTATGTATGTATGGGAGAAAGAGAGAGAAGTCTAATTGGTCTAATATTAATCTCACTATTGTAATTTTTTAAAGGAATTAAATTGAAAAAAGCAAGAAGTTGAGAAACACAGCATCCACAAATGCACACAAAAGACAGTTCTCGGAACAGCAGCTCTGGCCCTTCAGGTCAGACACACACTGGGTCTGCCTGGCCCATCTGTGGAATTCTCCTTGGAAGCAGGGAGAACAGCACTTTTCTTACCTAGTTAACAAAACTACTCCAGTCGCACAAACTTTTAAATTCAGATGTCTTTCTTCCGTCATTGTTGTGGTTTGAAAATGAAATGTAAGAATAAACAGTACAGACAAAATGATGTCACTCTATGGTTGGAAAGACTTTGACTACTCTAACAAAACATTCTGTAAAGTTATTTATGCATAGCAAGTTTAACTGTTTATAGCTAATGTGCTCTTTGCTCTGATTAGTCTTATGAATGATTTAAGCAAGTTATTTCAATGATTTATTTTCTTTTTAAGCCCCTTTCTGTAAATGGAAGACCATGTAGGCACATTATAAAATATGAATTCACTATGAAATTTCATTAGTGGCATAAGATATATTTTGGTAAAAGGATACTTTTGTAAGAGAGAGGTTGACATCTAGGGAAATAAGACATGAATAATTACAAGTGGATTGTAATTCACAGCAACTTTTGCAAAGATTCACCAGAGACAGAGTTGGAGGTGAAACAAGCAGATTTATTGAAACACACTGCTGAAGGGAGCAGCAGGGAGATGGAAAATTCTGCTGCACCCCTTGGCTCACCTCCCTGTCTGGGGATCAAATGCAAATGGCAGTGGCTGTTGATAATTTGATAATGCTGAGACTTAACCCCTTATGCCAACAGGGAGGCCCTGGACTTTTTTGTTAATAATCCAAACGACAAGTTCATTATTACAAAAGGAAAGGCTGCTTGTATAGACATAGCAGATAAAAGGAGCTACCGTGGAACAACACGCTTATGCAAAGAAACAACTGTGTAGTTGCAGGCAGGCAGGAGAGCTGCCCAGGTGTGGCAGAGCATGGGAAAAGAACTGAAATGAAAGTCAAGGTCAAACTCACGTTGCATATGGACGTTTACATTTTTCTTGTGTACTCATCTCTGAACGTTTGGAAGTTGGGACCGTCCAGTGCAGTGGTTGAGAGATGCCTGAGCCTGGTGTACCACTCAGCAGATCTGCCCGCAGGAGACCCTCTGGCCTTGGGCACACGGTGGGGCCCTGGGGTCCTTGGCCTCCAGTGCTGGGAGGCATTTGTTCATCTTTTGTAAAATCAACTGAAACCATTTAAGGAAACCATTCTCATGGAAACTTGCTTAGGAAATGCTAACAAAAGGCTTGCTGTCAATTTGCCTTTAAAATCTAGGCATTTGAATGTTGATTATGAACAAATATATACTTAAACTTTATCTTAGAAGAAGCTGGACTCCTTTATCTTAGAAGAAGCTCCTAACAATGCAGCCATCTGGCCATGTGGCAATGACAGAAACTCTTAATTTGATGGTCTTGAAATGCTGATCTACAATCTTCCAAAGCAAAGATTGCCTCCTTTTTTCTCCAACCAAAAGACTTCTTTGAGATTCAGGACCCTGACCAAAATTAGCTTTTAAAGAATAGACATTTCCTTTGATTAGTACTTTGGGCTGATGACAACTGAAATGGTAATTTTTACATCAGTGTGGTTATGCCTTACCCTGTCAGGCCCTTTGGAGCAGACTGGAGTGTTTGGAAAAATCCCGCATTGTATCCAGTTATTACTGCATCGCATGATTACAGCAATCACTCAAAAGGAAATACACAATGTTATTTGCACTTGGGATGGTCAAACTTCCTGATTGTTTTATTGTCAATATTTAAAAAAATTTTGAAATGCTGTCTTGGGGATAACTATTCAAACAGCTTGCGAAAAGAGACGCCATAGTGGGTGCAGGCATTTCTAACTGCTAACAGATATTTTAACTAGTTCCTCTTCAGGATACAGCACAATTTCAGCTCCTCAGATCATTCCCTTTGCTGCCCCTTTATAAGCTGACCCTCTCCCCAGCTTGAACTGGCTGCAGTCACTAACCTTAGTCACTAACAACTTAACTGCTACAATCAGTCTCTTTAGTTCTTCTAGAAAGTCATTAAATAGGAACATATAGTAGTTTATAATTTAAGGGTGGGTTCTTCACTGAGGCTGGGGTGGGGGGCACAGTGGCAAGGGTGGAGGGCTAAGCGTGTTCTCAGTGGGGGAGGCGTGGTAATAGCACCTGAGGCAGGGAGTTGCACAAACACAAACAACTATGTAAACCAGTTACCCCCCCTCTCTCTCTGTCTCTGTCTCTCTATCTCTCTATCTCTGTCTGTCTACCTGTTTCTCTCTGTGTGTACATACACACACACACACACACACACACTGGTTTCTTCTAGAGTATACTTTGCCCAAGCTGTCTGTGCTGTCTGTTCTTCTGGGTCACTCTGTCATCTTCCTTGGTAGGGTTTGCCCTAGTTTGTACATCCACCCACCTGCTGATTTAGTCATGGCTTACATCGTTTTGTATGAACATAAGCTTTTATTCCACATGGGTAAATTCATTCCATTTGGGTAAATCCGTAGGACAGAGATTGCTAACTGGTATGATAATTGTGTTTAAATTCTAAGAGGCTGCCAAACAGTTTTTCAGAGTGCCATTCCTTGTTTATTCACTTCTGTAACTTTCTAATGTGCTTGTGAAAATGTCTCCAACAGCATTTTCCAAATTGATTACTCTAAGTGAGCTTACCGATCTGTTAGCATTAAAACAGGAGTGAGAGGGGGTAGAGGGAGGCAGAGGAGAGAGAATTTTCCTGGAAAAA